AATGAGGTACCCCCCCACAACTTGGCCCAGCACTGTGCAATTTGGTGCAGCACAACAGCCAACTGGGCTATAGTTTTCCTGGGAAGAGGCTGTCGGGGACAGAAGGAGGAAAAGCTGAATACAGGGGTGCAGATAAAGGCAGGCTGGCGGGAAGGCAAGAAGGAAGCAGGAAAAGAATTACAGAATCACAGAGTTGGAAGGGTCCATAGAGGCTATCTAGTCCAAACCCCTCCTTAGTGCAGGATTGGCCTAGAGCATCCATGACACGTATTTGTCCAGCCTCTGCTTAAAGACTGCCAGCAAGGCGGAGCTCATGATGAGGTTTCTCAGGGAAAGGAAAGAGGAAATAGTAGGGGAGGGCAAAATTATATGCCTCCCTCACAAATCCTTGTGGGTCCCCCACTTGTTTTATATTTTACTATATCATAATAATATGGTAGCTTGTGCTAAAAACTAAAACAGCTAAATCAGACCACCGACATATGATTTATATATAGTTAGGATATTCCTTGGGTATGAAAAAACACTTAGTAAATTAACCTAAAGAGAAAGACGCTGCCTATAAAGAAGAGTGCTGTGAGCAGGCAGGAAGTGATTAAAGGCTGAAAAAGATGAGATGGGAAGTTGGTCTGCTCAAGAGCCCTAAGAGCTTACAGCATCAAAGGAAACATCTGAGTCAGGGAGAATTTCCCCACCCATTTACAGTGCAATCCTATGCAGCTTTATTCCAGTCTAAGAGCACTGAGTTCAATGGACCTAGGATGTAGTAAATCATTGTAATATTGCATAATTAGTTGTTCCCCAGCTCGTTCTTGTTGTTTTTTGCTTATATCATGCCATCAGTGAACATGGTCACATGCAACACTGTATACAAAACCGAAATATGTTGGTCTCCATCCCAAGGAGCATAAAGTCTAAAATAGCACAACTACTTCATGTAGGAAGATTACTTTCTCTAGCCCCTTTTTGTCCTAAAGCAGCATTATGACTGCTGTTATTCCTTGCCTGTTTTGTCCACATTTGTAGACAAGCTGAGTCTCCTTTTGTGTGGGGGATCAGATAGCAAGCATGTAAGACAGGGCTTGTTGAAAGACCATTCTCTGGAAACGATGTGACAAGGCTGGTACGTGAAAGTGCTTGACCAATAGCGACACTCACTTTGCAAGATATAATGGCATCATCACACCTTGCAAGAGAGAGGGCTTAACAGAATTCATGATAACTGTCTCTGCACACTGCTTCTAATGTAGTTCAACTTTGGCAATCATCTTAGCCACCTATAAAAACACAACTGCACTACAGGGTGATATCAGTTTTATATGAGTTTAACTGTTGAGGCTTCCCCAAAGAATCCCGAGAATTGAAATATGATGAGGTGTTAAGGACTTCTCCTAGAGTTCTAGTGCATTCTAAATTGCCCATGTCTTCAGCTGCACAAGTTACTTTGTAAAGGAAACATGTCTTTTCATTACTTTATACTGCTATGCTTGTGTGCTTCTAAATGCAAATAATGGTGTTAGCTTGGACACAATTCATTAAAGTCTATGAAAATATTTAGTTTCTGCATGCCTACCCCAGAAAAGACAATATGTAACAATAAGATCGGGTTACTCAACAGGACTGTTGAGAATTGGACTTGGATTGTCCGTGAGAATTACTATTTTGGCTCTCTTTCCAACGATGAACTTTTATGAGCCAGAGATTATGCTCAGCCAGGTTTCTCTTTACACATATTTGGCTTGTCTTCTCTAGGCTTTCATATTTTGCAACCTGTCTGAGTTCTGGCATATACAGTGTTAGAAGATGAGCATGTGAATAAGCCTGAGATGGTGTAGTTGATGTTAGGCCCAGTGATTGTGTTGTCTGGGTGTATGTGACAGCAAAGTTGGCAACTGGGCTCATTGCTCTGGTACCAGTGTCCGTGTTAAAATTAGATGTTGCATTATTGTGGGTGAGGAGTTGTTTGAGACCGGGGGGCTGTCTGTGCACAAGAAAGAGAACTTATGAAAGAGAACTGTCATTATCCAGCAGAGGCTGTTAGTCACTGATGATGTTCTGGCTTTGTTAATATGTTTCTTGACTTCATCAGGTGGAACTGAAGAATTGTTGCCATTAAATGCCAACAATGCCCTTCGGTTCTCTACACAAAGCAAACAGGTCAAACCCTACACCAAAGGATAAATGGACAGAAACCTGACATCAAGAATCACAAGACTGAGAAACCTATAGGAGAACACTTCAATCTTCCAGGACATCCAATGGGTGACCTCAAAGTAGCTGTTTTACTGCAAAGGAACTTCAGGAACAGACTAGAAAGGGAAATTGCTGAGTTACAAGTTATTACAACATTTAGAACAAAGGAATTCCCAGGACTTAACAGGGATATTGGTTTCTTATCTCACTACATATGCTAACCTCATTCAGTCCTTATCTGTATCCTCACCAATCCCCCAGAAGGGACACACATCCTCTTTATTTTATTTTACTTTATTTCTTATTTGGAATAGTAGATTAGAATACTAGATTATAATGTAATGCAATGAATGTAATGTAATTTGGAATGGTAGATTGGAATATATTGCTCTGGTCTGGGGACGGGAGATAACTCTACACAGCCAATCACCCCACTTCAAAGAAGAAGATGCCGTAAGGTCACCTCCATGCTTGAGAGGAGACAGATGGAAAGTAATGGCAGGGTCTCAGTTAATTACACTCAGCATTCCACAATTAAGGATACATCTGCCCATCAATCTCCAATTTTGACATATTTATTTCCTTCCCTAAATTTCCCCCAAATTAAACCCTAACAAATGGTAACCATATAAACTAAGCTTGTTATTCCTATTTGGTCCTTGAATCTGTTAACATCTTCATTATGTTGTATACCAATTTACTGTTCACCCTCTACCTATATGTATGGACTAGCAACTTCCATTTCATTGTATCTGAAGAAGAGTGCATGCACATGAAACCCTATACCTTGAATAAAGCTTTGCTGGTCTTAAAGGTACCACTGGACTCCAACTTTGTTCTGCTGCTTCAGACCAACATGGCTACCCACCTGAATTCAGCTGTAAGAGTTGAGAAATTAAGTAATGTGTATGTATGTAAACATCCCTTAGGAATACATACACACACACTCATGTATGTGCAAACAATTATACTGGATTTGTTGTGCTACAGTAGCAGTGCTGATAATTCAGGTTTGATCCCACCATATTTTTAAGCTCAGTGACATTTATTTAGTTGCACTCCATGGCTGCAGTCCAATGAGGCAACCCCATTTGTGCAAGGTGGGGTTCTCCACTGCCATCTCTGAGAAAACACAAGCCTTCTGTACCAGTGGAACAACCAGAGCCAAAGCCAGAAATAGGAGCCCTGGGTCAGCAGAGTATGCCCCAAATCTCCCAACCTCATACAAAGTTTGAGTCCAGTGGTACCTTTAGGACCAACAAAGTTTAATTCTGGATATAAGCTTTCGTGTGTTCATGCACACTTCTTTGTGGATTGTTCCCTCACACCTCTAATGTGGACATGCTGTCACTTAGGTAAGCTCTTTCCATAAATGGTTTAGAAAATGTCCCATGTGTACTTACATCTTTGTATTCTTTATCCAGCTTATCATTGTCTGACATGATCACATCAGGATAGCCAATCCTTTCTGTAATGGCTTTAGCCTAAAAATAAATTGTGAATACATTTATTGTATATGGCCATAGGCCTTCACAATCCAAAGCACAAAATAACAGACATCTTTAAAATTTCTCTGTCCAGCTCAAAAATTACAATTTAATTCAGTTGTTTACTTTCTTAGAAATTACATTTGCTCTGATTTTCCTAGCGGCCAGAGCAAAAAGTGCCATCCTATAGGAGACAAAAGAATCCACATCTGATAACATAAAAGCTAATTTGTCAGGGTCAGACAGGGAATGTAAAGTGATTAAACCAAGATATAATGGGGGAGGTCTTCCACTGAGCTTCCACATACAAAAATGCGGTGTTCCAGTGTTTTTTCTAATATTGTCCAGCAAGCATCTTCGTTGGCTTTGTTTGGAGACAATGGAGTTGAGCAGAAATTCAGACATCCACCTGGCCATAATTTGCCCTAAACTTATGCACTTTCAAACAGCTTGTCCAGATTTCATAGAGCAGATCTTTTCAAAGTGAATACTTCTGTGAAACTGACACTTTGTATTTGATACCAATTTCAAAGTTTTATTGTAAGCAGTATGAAACTCAAGCCTTCCTTAGCAATGCCTTTTGACATTTTGAATGTAAAAGTGCCACAACCAATTTAACAGTAGTCAGTTCAGTTACCCTAGCTAAATAACCCTCTGGTTTTGCACATGCATATTGAAAGAGATAGAAAAAAGAGAGTGTTAATAAGTCCAGTCAAGCAATAATTATCATCAATTTGAACAGGAAATGTAAATGAGTTTAAATATGTCTCACAGAAAACAATAGGATTTTTGCTCATCATTTCTACTAGACGTGTGCATGTGAGTTGGTTTTGTTTTTTTCATTTTTGTTATTAATTCTCAAAATGAATGTTTTGTTATTAGATCATTTTGTAAGGTTTTGTTTTGTTATTGTTCCTTTCCTTATTGTTTAATTTTCATAATTCTATTTTGTAATTATTTCCCATCAGTTTCAATGGAAGACCCTACCCCTTCTTGGGTCTATAGCTTCATGGTTTTCCATCCAAATTGGACAAAACTCAGGGGGAATTGAAGTACTCTCCCAGGGCAGTGATACATCAAATTTCAGGCCAATAGAATGCAGGGGTCCCCCTTTTTGTGGTAATGAAAGGAACTCCTTGTTACCATCAAAGTCTATGACAGAACTGATAGGACAGATTCCAGACACAAGTAGTGCAGAGTTTAGTAGAGTTTAGTGATGGAATCTGGCACAGCAAGCCACTTAGTTTGAAGAACAGTAGCACAAGGAATATGCAGACAGACAAGGCAGGGGAATTTGGTGCCACGGGGGGGGGGAGCAAGTCATCTGGGCAAGCAGGCCACAGCAAGAGGGCCTTGAGATAGGTTTGATTGGATGGGGGATAAGGTTTGGAGAGCAGCAGGCAAGCAGGGGAGCTCAGACAGCAAGGGGGAATTTGGCACAGCAGGGAGGAATGAGGAGAGCAACATTGCCCCACCCCCATATCCTTCAGGACTGGAATACCCCTCACATGTATGCAGTTCTAGCATCTGTAGCTTGCAAATCAGGAAAGCTAAGAGCTTATCTATCCCCCTTCCCCCTAAGCAACACAGCTCTCTCTGTGGCCAAAGGAAATATTAGAATCAGAATAGAAAGTTTATTGTACGTGGCCATTGGCCGTCACAATTTTATATAAAACTGGATCCCTAATATCTTAAAATACACAGTTATTAAATAACAAAGGAAATACACACATGAGAAAAAGAAAATAATTTGGGGGGTTCATCATTGGCTCCTAAGGTGCAGAATTTGTTTCATTTTTATATTAATTAATTAATCACAGAGCATCTCATTGCCATAATTATTGTCATTAAAAACAAACGAAATGCACAAGTTTAGTTTCTGCAATCTTTAGGGCTATTCCTACAGACAGTGCCTTTCGTTGTTACTTCTATGCACAAATATAGGAAAGCACTGTGGACTTACGGTTCCCAGAATATGATCTCTTAGGGAGATCTGCGGAAGAGTCTCCAGTCTGAATGTTACTGAAAGCCATAACCTGACACTTCCCATATTTGCTCATATATTTGACACTGAAGCCATATAAAGTTCTTTTATTTTTTCACCCTGGAAACTCCAGAAATGTCACCTTCAGCTCTGTTAATGGCCTTCAATGTAAGGGACAAGCTGATGCCAGTTAGAATGGACAGTGCTGGGACTAGGTGGGCCGGGGTCAAAAATGCTTCATACTGAATCATACCATTAGTCCATCTAACTTAGCAATGGTTGTACTGATTGTCAGCTTTCCAAGATCCCAGAGTTTCTTTGCCATCTGAGATAATTTAACGAAAAATGCTGAGGCTTGAATCTGAGAACTCATACCAGCAAAAATATGGACCTTCCTCCTAAAACCTTTTAAAGTTAGAGAGCAAAAGGCATCATCAAGGAAAAAAGATTATGGGTTATCTCCATCCTTTAAAATCCTTCCTAGACAATCTACACCATTTTATAACCGTCCTAGAGGAAAGCAGCCATGCATCAACAAAGGTAAGTTCAAAACTACTTCTTGTCCTTACATCTTCAGCCAATGCAAAGTACATAAAGCTGACCACCACGAATGAAACACATACAGTTTTTGGTGGATACTGCATTTGTTTTCTTTACAAAGGAATTCTTGTCATGATAAAGCCTGCTGTTTGGTTCAGCTTTTGGAGATAGTAGCACACTTTTGTTTAGTCCCCTTTTCAGTTCCATTCAATTGTATTTCTGTATTAGCCATAGGCTATAATAGTATAACTTACATTTAAAAAGAGGTCCAACTCGCATGTTACAGTGGATAAGAGGCAGGCTATTCAAATTTAGTTGCCACTGCAACAATCATGACGACAGTTCACAATGTTTTGTTTTGTTTTTGAAAAGTCAGTATTCATCAAAATTGCCCTCAAATGATAAATTCTTTCTTAAAGTATTTTTACTTGCCTTTTCTTCTGCTTTCTTTTTGGTTTCTGCATCCATCCAACTCAATTCATCCAGTGTTTTTATGAAAACTTCACGGATTTGTGTAATCATATCTTGTACCTGGGCACATACAGTATAATATGATTAAGTCATTCTGTTTGAGTCATAGGTCTCATTTTGGTATGCTAGATTCCAGGTCCCAGGGAATTAAATATTAATTTTCATGTAAATAGACAATACTGACAAAATGTTAAGTCATGGCAAATCATAGTTACCAATCATTAATGTTTTGAAAAGAATTACCATTATTTAAAACATTTCTACACTTAAAAAATATTATGCTAAAGTGATAGTATATCTATGTTACAGAGTTACAATGATTTTATTACCAGTTTAATTCTCATGGTTTCTACCAAAGAATCCTGGAAACTGGAGACTGGTGAAGCTTCTGAGAGCCGTAGGGTTGTGGCCAGTGTTCCCTCTAAGCTGAGTTAGTGTGAGCTAGCTCACAGTTTTTTAGCTTTCAGCTCACACATTTTTGTTTTAGCTCAGGAAGGAGGGCTCCAGAGCAAACTGATTTATGCAGGAGCCAAATTCCTCGCTCACAACTTTAATGCCAGTAGCTCACAAAGCAGAATTTTTGCTCACAAGACTCCACAGCTTAGAGGGAACATTGGTTGTGGCTTCACACAACTACACTTCACAGCATTCACTGGGGGAAAGGGGATGACTATTAAAGCAAGTAAATCTGTAGACTGTATGTATGTGCATGTATGTAGCCTTTGTATGTATGTTCATGTATGCAACCTTTGCAGCTGGTGCCCTCTTAAGTGTATGTGTGTCCGCATACAAATCTGAGGCTCTGGTTGCTGTCTGATTAGTTATAGAAATGAGAAAAGTTGGCACACCTAAGTCTATGCCCCAGTTCAAATTATTTCCATCACATGAACCACAAAATGTATGAAGATACTGCTCCCATTGAGCAAATCAGTTGTAACCCCTCCTGCCACAGACTCATGGGTTAGCCAGCTGATGGCATGTCCTTATTTGTGCTTATTTGTGGTTGTGAACTTTCCATCTGCAGTTGACTATCTAATCAGCAGACAGCAGGAAGAAGGCTGGACTGCCTAAGTCTTGTGTTTCTCCTGGTCCCAAGTGACTAAGCTTTGGTAATGATTTATGGTTAGAAACAATGCTTCTTCTAAGCTGTGAAGTCTTGTGAGCAAAAATTCTACTTTGTGAGCTACTGGCATTTAAGTTGTAAGCAAGCAGTTTGGCTGCTGCATAAATTAGTTTGCTCTGGAGCCATTAGGGTTGCCAAGTCGCGGTGGGGGATCGTAGGTCTTCACAGAATCCTTGCCGCGGGGACAGTGAGACGTGTTGCACCCGCCATTGCCAGGATCTGACGCTACGCGTCGCTCTGGCAACAGGGCTCCAAACAGCATCTCGCTGTCCCCGCAGCAAGGATTCTGCAAATTTGGCGAGATTTGGCAGGCCTAGGAGCCATCCTTCCTGAGCTAAGACAACAAGGTGTGAGCAGGAGGCCAAAAAACTGTGAGCTAGCTCACACTAACTCAGCTTAGAGGGAACACTGGTTAGCAATGAAGTACATTTTCTTAAGGGGGGTGGGACATGAATCACACAAAAGTCTGTAAACCACTAGCCCCCCCCCCCAGCATTAAGGGGGGGAAACCCATTGAGTAGATTTCATGCTGCATTTTCAGAAGCTATCTTCAAATAATGGGAATTATTTTGTTAAATGTCATTGATGTACTATTAGTTTTCATTTCAGCAAAGCTGATCTACATGAGTTTCCTTCGTTATAATCTCCCATTCTTTAACACTTTTTTTTTTCTACAACAGACAAAGTCTGCTTCTTCTAATCCTCATCTCTAGCTAATAGCTTGTTTTACTGTCCTGGAAATGCTGCATAATCCCATAATCTATCTAACCACCAAAAGATGTGGAATTCTTCTGGCATCCTGAAGTAGAATCATGTCTAGAATCCAGGTATGGGTAAACACAATTTTAATAGACCATTTGAGGGGTATATTTCACTGTACACCTGTTGTTATTGTTCATAATCAGCCTTTTTTCCTGCTCTTTGATGCACTGCAAATGGAAACAATAATAGTACTCTGGGATTGCTTTATGTTATATCCTCACTGCTCCTAAAAGATCCATTTCCTGCCCTCCCATTTTTTAAATGTGTAGAGGATGAACCAGGAATTTCTGAACAGACGACAACCATGTCTGTTTGGGTACTAAGCAAGCAGCCATTGGATTTTTCTCATCAACAATCTGGAGCTAATTCCTAAGTATTTAAATATCTGGCAAAGATCACACTGAATGATCTGAGAATGTTACCATGTGTTTACTCTCTCCAGCAAATGCTGCTTGTACATACAGCCTTCCCACAGCATTCTCCATATTGCCATTGACGTAGTTGGTACAGCGGCGCCATGAAGCAGTGTCTGAGGTTGTGCCATAGAGCACCTGTGAAGAAAAACATTAGAGAACTTCATCACCCTGGCAGCAAGGACTTGGGCATTTTGGAAGAGCTTCCTTTTTATTAGTAATTGTTTTTTTGATTGCCACTAATTTTAATGGAAAATATATAGGGTGCGTTCAGACGCAGCCTTTACAACGGAATCTGTGCAGGTTGCAATCGTTGTACTTACCAGCGTTCAGACGGGGAACATCTGTCTTCCCTCTCTAACCGTTGTAAAGGCCCTTAAACCGTTGCACTCTGCCACTAGGTCCCCAAGTGGTGGTATCCTGAGTGCAACGGTTGCTTTCAATGTACTCCTCCATCTGATCGCTCTCAACCGGTGCCTAGCCACTTCCGTTCAGAAGCCTGAGGCTTCCGATTTTCCCCCGCCAATTTTTTTTTTAAACTAAGCGATAAATGCTTGGGCGAAGCTTCGCCCTGAGCGTTTGTTTAAAAAAAAAAAAAAGCCCTTAGTGTAGCGTATCGGAGGAGTCAGGGACTTAAGGGAGGCCAGTTTGGTCTTTAAACTTTAAAGGTAAGTCCTTACCTTTAAAGTTTAAATGTAATACGGGGTGTTTTGAGCATGCGCAAAGATCGCCATTCTGTGGATGGCTGCCTATGCGCACGCTCAAACTGAGTTTTTTTAAAAAAAGGGCAGGAGGAGGAAAAGTCACTTCCTTCTCTTCAATATTAGCTGTCAGCTCTCTCGCAATCCTCCCAGACCTTCCCAATTGATTTCCGATCTACTCCACACTCCTCCACTTGAAAGCCAATCTCCTCCACTCCGTTCTCTGTCTTGGGTAAGGCTTCCTTAACTCTCCATTTCTGTGGCCACGTTTTTAAACTCCGTCTTGGATTAGTCTTTCTTTACTCTCCTGTTGATTCCCCCTTCCTTCGCCCACGCCAAGATCCTTGCTTAGCCGCCTAGGGATCAGCTCCCCCACGCTGTTTTAGCTCGGCGTTTGATTATCTGCACTTTCTGTATTTTGGAGAATGGAGAATGAGAATGGAGGTGAGTGTGATCGTGTTTCAGCCGGCATAAACTGCACCGGTTCCAACCGGTACAGTTTATGCCGGCTGAAACGCCCCGTCTGAACGCACCCATAGTGTTCAAAGAAGTACACTGGTTAAGACAGTAAATTCTACCCCTCTGTTCCTCTTTGCAACCTAAATACTCATTGCTCTAACAACCTGCAAAGAATATTGCACCACTCCCTGCAGTGCATAGATATACATTTGTACCCCTCTGTTCCAAGCACAGCCTCTGGGGGACTGAGAAGCATGAGACCAACATTCATTCAAAGCTGTTTTCTGCCCATCATAGGTAACAGCATATTTTCTGTAAACCAGGAATTCAATAAAGATGAAGCAGAGGGGAGGTGTTGTGGCTTGGACCTGGTTGGTGGCAGTGCAAGCCCCCAAGGAGATGCCAGTCACCTTCAAAAAAGCTGAGAGCCAACTGAGGCCTCCTCATTGTCTCATGTTTGGCTGGAGAATTGGTCCTGAAGCCACCCTTAGGTGGAAGCATGTAGATGCTTTGATCTGAAGAACATGAAGCATCTCAGACCCAGTGGATCACAACTGTCTTGCATGACTGGGTTGTGAGACTAGGAGGGAGGATAAGGAACAGAGTAAATTGGGAGAGGAGGCTCTGGGAGGTGGTGGAAAGTACTGTCAAGTCACAGCCAGCTTATGGTGACCTTGGAGAGTTTTTAAGGCAAGAAAGAGATGGTGGTGGTTTGCCATTGCCTGCCTCTGCATAGCAACCTTGGTCTTCCTTGGTGGTCTTCCATCCAAGTACTAACCAGGACTGACCCTGCTTAGATTGTGAGATATGAGATGGGGCTAGCCGGCACCACCCAGATCAGGGTGGCTCTGGAAGACTCAGTGGCAAATCTAGGTTTGCTTCTGCATAATGAGTGAAATGGTCCTGAAATACAGCCTGTTGCTCAGTGATGCTATATATGTGTCAATATTAAACATGACAAATAATGTTCAGTGTTAATGGACATGAGATTGCTATGCTCTATGTAAACAGACAAAAATACTGTGGAGAATGAAAACAAGTAGGAGATATCTCTATCTATCTATCTATCTATCTATCTATCTATCTATCTATCTATCTATCTATCTATCATCTATCAATCTATCTGAAAATGCATAAACAATAATCAAGTCACAACTTTTCAGCATTCAAAAACAATATCAACATTCAAAGTGCATATTGCATTTAAAACTCCAAATCCATATGGAAGCAAGCCATAACAGTCAATATCTTATTGATAAGAATTACACACACAAGCACTTTATTTCTACAAACTATTTCATGCTGACATGCTGAAAAATTATGACTTGATTATTGTTTACGCATTTTCATGAGAACATAAGAGAAGCCAATGTTGGATCAGGCCAATGGCCCATCCAGTCCGCCACTCTGTCACACAGTGGCCAAAAATACCAGACTGCCCCAGACTGAGAGTTCCTATCTATACCTTGTGGCTAATATCCACTGATGGACCTCTGCTCCGTATGTTTATCTAATTCCCTCTAGCTGTCCATGTTTGTAGCCGCCGCCACCTCCTGTGGCAGTGAATTCCATGTGAATTTCATGTGATTCCCAAAAGGGTCTTTTGGGAATCATTTACATACATATATATATTGCCTACTTGTTTTCATTATTCACCATGGTATTTTTGTCTGTTGTAATCTTCTTCTGTGGTTTTCTCTGGTTGTATGTTCTATGTAAAGGCAAGTGGGGAAATAGCATGGCGTTAACATTGCAACTGAGTCCCAAGAGGTACAGTGACTTTAGAAGAAGGTCCCCCAAGTATGTCAGCAGGCAACTGACAATAGAAGGTGTGATTGGATTAGGTGTGATATGCAGAGAGGTAGTAAGTGTGGAGAAATGAGCAGTGGTAATGAGACAGGAAACCAATGTCTCAATTCAGTCCAGGTGGATGCATTGTCTTGAGCTTCATTAGCAGTTGCGATTCAGCAGTCTCTCTTTCTAATCTTCCTTTGAAATTCCTTTGTAAGAGAACTGCTACTTTTGGGTCAGCAACTGAATGTCCTGGAAGGTTAAAATGTTCCCTCACAGGTTTTTGTCAGTCTTTAAGGTGCTGCTGGACTCTTACTCTTTTCTATTGCTACAGACAGACTAGCATGGCTACCCATCTTGGTCTATCCCCAAGTACAGAAAGTTTGGAATTATGATCCATTTCACGAAGTTGAAGAATCTTTGGGCTAGGCCAAAACAGTGAAGCATGCTGAGTTCCAGTTTGGTGTAGTGGTTAAAAGAGCCAGTTTGGTGTAGTGGTTAGAAGCGCGGACTCTCATCTGGGAGAACTGGGTTTGATTCCCCACTCCTCCACATGCAGCTGCTGGTGTGACCTTGGGTCAGTTACAAGTTATTTCAGAGCTGTTCTCTCACAAGCAGTCCTTGAAAGAGCTCTCTCAGCCCCACCTACCTCACAGGGTGTCTGTTGTGGAGAGAGGAAGGGGAAGGAGATTGTAAGCCGCTCTGAGACTCCTTTGGGTGGTGAAGGGCGGGGTATAAATTCAATCTCTTCTCTTCTTCTTCCAATGGGCAGCCTCCTCTCTGAACGACTATACTGGACTCCCAATGGCCTTTAATTAATCAATACCATTTTCATGGTTCTTTCTTGGCTTTTTGAGACTTACTGGCTTAACAATTGTCTATTAGTAACCTGTGCTATCAGTGAATTTTGGAGCTCAGTTGGTACCAAGCTTTCATAGTGCTTCTTTAATTAAGCCCATGCTGTGAATCCTTGCCTTTGGCTACCCAGACTTTGCTGTGCAATGTAGGCTGGTGCTTTAGGATGCCAAAGATTTGGAAGTAATGTAATCCTTCTCCCAAAGTGTCTTCACTTCTGTAGTTGCCCCCCCTTCCCCAAACTTAACCTCACCTCTAAAGTTCTACACCATTGCTTCTGAATTCCATCCTTTGCAAAGAATTAGTGCCCTTGAAAAGGAGCAGGGTTATTTTCAAGCCTTAATAAGCCACATGGAAAATAAGGCGGTGGAGAAGGGTCTTTTGGGAATCGTTATCAGCATACAACAGTGTACGACAGCCGGCTGCCAGGCTAACTCCCTTGCAGAAGGCATTGTTTTCAGCTCCTTTTATTATGTTTCTGTGATTTAGGGCTGCAAAGGAGCAGCCAAAGAGAGTGGCACATCTTTCTCCTTATAATTAGTTTCCCCTTCAATACAAATACAGACATGCCATGTCCTGAATCAAAGATAATGTGGGCTGCAATCTTGTCAAAGTTAGACTCTTTGGGTCCTACTCATTTCAATGGGAGAATTACAGAGTAAGCCTAAACAGAGTTATGCCCTTCTAAGTCCATTGACTTTGATGGACTTGGATGAGATCAACTCGGTTCAGAATTGCACTACCTAGAACCTATTCAGCTCTCTTCTAGTGAAATATACTGAAATCAATGGGACTCAAAAGTGCTGAGCTGCATTCCACCACAAGACAGTATATAAGCAGAGGATTCATTGGTGGTTGCAAAAACATAAGCCTTAGTGAAGGTGCATGTCGACATCTCCATGAATTATCTGCTGAAAATACAAATCTAGTTTTGCTGGGCCAGAAAATCAATAGGGAAAGTAGGATGCTGTGTCCAACATTACTCCAAATTCTCATGGAAGCAATGAGTTGACAGTGCCTTTCTGGTGGTATACCTACCTCTGTTTACTCATGCATACTTCTCTTCCCCCCCCTCCTCCAGAAGACCGACTGGTCTAAGTACATCTATGGCCTAATAATTCTTCACAGCCTTATTTTTGCTGGTCACCACTGAGCCTTCAGTGGTGATGTACAAGCAGAAACATAAACTGATTTAGCTTGAAGGCTTGTTCTTCCCAGATGTGGGAAAAGTTGAAGAAAGTCAAACTGAGTTGAGGGATTGTTATTATTTACATGAGAATGATACTATTCTGCAATAAAAGAACCATGAATCATGTTTGATTGACTTACCAATATACAAGTGCAGATCACAGGAAATGGCCAGGAGTGCATGGACATCCCATTTTTTTAATGCTGCCCCTGAAGACATTTTTAATTGCTCTTCGAGTTCCCCCAAGTTCACAAAGTGGTTTGACGATTAAGCACAAGAGTCTTTTAAAATACGAATGGGATGGAAATAGTGTGGATGAATTGTAAATGTTTCCTCTTTGGAAACTTTTCACATCTTAAGAGAGTTAGTATTACATAGTAGTGAAGACTGTTGGACTTGAAGATTGAGTTCAGTTCCATGCTGAACTAATGAAGTTCACTGGGCAACCCTAGATTAGTTCTCATTGCTCACTCCATTGCTTATGCTGAGAGCCAGTGTGATGTAGTTGTTAAGAGCGGTGGACTCTAATCTGGAGAACTAGATTTGATTCCCCACTCCTCCACATGCAGCCAGCTCGGTGACCTTGGGTCAGTCACAGTTCTCTCAGAGCTCTCTCAGTCCCACCTACCTCATAGGGTGCCTGTTGTGGGGAGTGGAAGGGAAGGCAATTTGTAGGCCTCCCCAAGACTCCTTAATGAAGAAAAAAGCGAGGTATAAAAACCTACTCTTCTTCTCCTCTAACCTACTTCACCATGCTGTGGTCAGGATAAAACAGAACAAAAGGCATGAATGCCCTTGAGGTGAGGTCCATGGTGGAAAAGCAAGATAAAGATTTTTATTTTCTAGAGAGAGAATGAAAAACAGTTTGGGAGTTTGGCAGGGCACCAACATTGTGACACATGTGCGTCTCAAAACCTTACCCAATCCTTTCACAGACGCTTCCTGAACATTATAGACATTATATATACATATCCCAATCCAGCTCTAGTCACATTCGCAAAAGGGATTTAGGCATGATTAGCTGGGTTTCAGTATGGACTTGAATGCATATCCAGTTAGCATTGCAGTGTGGGCGGTCAGATGTACCTTCTGATGCACATCTGACTCAGTTCTTGACTCAGCAGCTGATACAAACTCAAAAACCTGCTTATGGATCTCCTTGAATTATGGCATTACACATGAATAGAAGGCTTAGCCCAGGGAACAGAAGGCCCAGGGTCAGTCAGCAGGCTTCCTATGGAGGAGGAGTGAAAAATCAAACCTGATTCTCCAGATTAGAGTCTGCTACTCTTGAACATTACACCACATTGGCTCTCTCCGTTACTATATGTCACTGAGCTGGTTCATGGACTTTGTATTACAAATCTCAACTGTAGATGTTTATGCACCTTACGGTAAGTAGACCTTGTGTCCTTGTAGTTTTGGCTTAGAGTGTTTACCAAATCCATTATGAATCGCCAACTCATGTAGTTTTGAAGCTCTCTGAAAAATAAAATGACAGAAATAAACTCTATGTCCCTAGAACTGTGGGATATACTAGCAAATTAAAGCAATCTTTAAAAAAAATATATAACTGGCATAGCTACCTGGGAGTGTATTTAACAAGAATAGGCTTTAGTTTGACTAGATATTCTGGAGCATAAACAATCACGTCTTCTGTATTTTGAATATCGATGCCCACAGCGGTCATTATATTATTTATGAATGTTAACCAGTTGAATTGCTAGGAAGAAAACAACAACAACACAGGTTAAGTATAGCATTGCCAACCCTCAGGTGGCCCCTGGAGACCTCTGGCTATTATAACTGATCTCCTGGGGACCCAGATCAGTTCCCCTGGAGAAAATGGCTGCTTTGGTGGGTGGACTCTATGGCATTACACCCTGCCGAGGTCCTTCCCCTCCGCAAACCCTGCCCTCCCCAGGCTCCAGGTATTTGCCAACCCAGATTTGCCAACCCTAGGCTGCGGTCACACGCAACATTAGCCACGCAAGAGATACGGAAGACAGGCGGAGTTTCCAGGCGCGATCTCACCAGCACATCTGGGGAGCGTAGCGCTTCTGTGGCACAACCGAGGCTTCCTCCCGAAACCGCGCAGCAAAAAACTAGTACCTCGGAGGTACTAGTTTCCGGAAACTGCGGGGCAAGGGCGGGCATCTGATCGTGTTTCCGGTGGCATCCGGCGCCCGCCCATGTCCCCTTGTGAAAAAGGTTTTTTTTTCCCCCAAGTCCCCGTGGTTGCGCACATGCACCCAACGGAGCATGCGCATTCGTAGTGAACACAAAAAAAGAAAACTAGTTCGCCGCGCCGCGCGCTTCTTCGTTGTGCGCAGGCATGTGTTGTGATCGACGCCTCTCCGTAACCACAGAAGCTCCACGGTACCTCCACAGAACCTCCACAGGAGGTATGATCGCTTTACTGCATGTTAGTTTGCCCCAGGGCAAACAGCCACGCTTCCTCCCCGCAGTTTCCTGCCCGTGTGACCGGGGCCCTAGTTAAGCATATGTCCAGTGTATTACGGTAGTTCTTCTGAAGACAGCTCCAGGGATGAATTACCTATTCCGGATGTACTTTTTGAGAGGGCAGAATGCAACAGCAACAGCTCTGCAACTTTTCCCTCTTCGAACATTGCCACCTGCCCATTAGTAAACAATGTTCCCAAAGTACAGTCGTTTACTACTTACAGTTCTCTTTCTATTATGAAAAGTGCATAGGGTACAATGCAACCCCAGAAATATACTGGTTTTGTTTTGTTTTGTTGTTTACAGGAAGCACTAGTCCTGGGAAGCAAATTTAAATATTCTAAAGAGGCATGGCCCCTGCTGACAATCTGATGACCCCTGCTGATAGCCTGAAAAAATTCTTTTCCTCAGTACAGAGATATGTTTTTGGGGAAGAAAAATATCCCAAGATCAGTGTTCCCTCTAAGCTGAGTTAGTGTGAGCTAGCTCACAGTTTTTTTAGCCTCTGGCTCACACATTTTTGTCTTCGCTCAGGAAGGATGGCTCCAGAACAGACTAATTTATGCAGTATCCAAATTGCTCACTCACAACTTTAATGCCAGTAGCTCACAAAGCAGAATTTTTGCCCACAAGACTCCACAGCTTAGAGGGAGCATTGCCCAAGATACAATGTTTGAAAATATTGGCATTAGATGTTCTACTTTATACTTTACGAACATGTACATTAGTTTTCTAATATCTTACATTCAAAACATAACTTTAGTTTTTTCAAACGGTAAAAAATACTTCATAAAAAAACAGTACTGGTGTGAATTATTCAATGTGTAAAAGGGGAGGGTGAATCCACTCAAAAGAAACATTCCGTCACATGTGATAGTGTGTTTTAATGCTCTGCATATTTAGGTACTATGTGGGAGGTTTTTTTAAAAAAAAAGTTACCTTGGCTTAGGTTAGAAATACAACTCAGAATACAGTTTATGTAAGTTTTTTTTCATGGGTTTGCCAGAGGGTTGCCAAAAACCCTAGCAAGGGGGAGAACTTTATTTGTAGTCATTATCCCTGTATGATTTCTTGTGTGAATGCCTTGTATTGACTGGAAAGTTTTATGTTCTTCTCTTCCCTTTTTTTCTTTCTTTTTTGGTCTGGTGTCTTCACAGCTTTGATTGTTTTTCATTTCTTTATGTACTGAATTTATATCCCACCAACATGGTCCAGGAGGACTGTCAGCTGTGGAAACTGAGAATGCAAAGACTCAGCAGCACTGGAACATGTCAAATAGTACCAAAAAAGGGGGCCTTTGTGAGTCTAAGTGATGCTCTTCTCTCATAACAGTACAAGTATAACCTGCTTTTATTTATTTGTATCATTGACCACAGGGTCTCTCTTCCTGACATGTTTAAACTCCACCATTATCCATATTTGGACATTCAATGCTGCCTTAAGGCTCACTACCTAGATTCTGTACATACGATGTAGAAATAAGCATATGCTCACCATTCCACCATGTCTATGGTGTGACGGGTGATGCAAACAGAAATCATACATATGTGTAGACATAATCCTCTACTTTTAAATTAGGGCAGAAAGAATGTATTACATACTGTAGGAAATTAAGCACACACCATGCTTCCAGTGCACACATAGAATTCCCAGGTCTTGTCGGATCTTAGAAGTTAAGCAGGGTCAGCCCTGGTGAGTACTTGGATGGGAGACCATCAAGGAAATTCAGGGTTTCTATGCAGAGGCAAGCATTCAGGGTTTCTATGCAAGCAATGGCAAACCATCTCTGAATGTCTCTTGCCTGGAAAACCCTACAGGCCTGCCATGTCAGGTGCAATTTAAGGGCAAAAAAAAAGTTACTGATATGACTACAAACTATCTCAGTGAAACATTTCAGTATATTTAACTAACACAAATATACCTTCACAGTCATTAGCATATTTCAGAATGACAGATGCTTCTTTGGGGGCATTCACCTTCAGTTATATATACATACAACCAGTCTATCAGTGGAATCCTGAAGAGAGCTATTCCCTTCTAAGTCCATGGACATCAGTGGACTTAGAAAGGTATATCTGTTTTTAAGAGTGCACTGTATGGAAGCCATCCTAAGCAGGTTGACACAGACATAAATCCCATTTAACTCAATGGGGCCTAATCCCATGAAAGTGATTTCAGGACTACATCCTATTTCATGTAAAAATGCCACTGAGTTTTGCATTCTCCCTTTTGGCACTCCACAGCCAGACTGCTACTGTAAACAGATTCCTCATAAGTAACAACGAAAATATTGCTCAGTTCATAAACAACAACAAACCTCTATTCATAAATTTTCCATGAGCGTGGGAAATGTTAGGCCAGCAGGAAATAAATTAAGCTGAATTTGACAGATTTGTAGCTTGGTAAATTGTAAAACAATTTAAAACTCTAATTCCAAAAAATGCTTCTGGGTTCCTTAATTAAAGACATTTTTGAAAATTCATATTTTATCATTTTGCTACTGAAACTGGATATCAAATTATGGTCAACTTTAAGAATGAAAACCTGGCATGAAAATTTGAAATGTCACTGTTCAGATTTTTTAAAAACCCAATCTAAGGGAATGTTTCTTGATTTGTTAAAAAGACTGCCTGGTTAATATAAAATTTACTGACTGCTATTGCAAATTAACCATTGGATCCCAGCAAATGCTGACTGCTGCTGCATGTCATCCTTCGACTGCTCATTCAAGTGCTGCCGAAAAATTGATGTCATGTGCTGGGAATGACCATTAAAAATCATATAATTTATACAGGCTGCAGCTATCTAAAGAATATTTACTAACTGAATTCCAAGATAGATAGTAGTCCCATTCTAAACTGAGTTACACCCTTCTAAGCCCACTGACTTCAATGGAAAGAAATAACTTTGTTTAGCATGGCATTGTTGGTGAGGTGTACACATCAAAACTGTTTGGATTAATTGTGGATCTGGATTTGAGGAGGGCATACTTTTAGTTACTGTGAACGTTCAGAACTCTCCTTACTGTTTGGAGATTTCCCCCCCAGATTTTTTTTCAAGTCTCAAAAATTCAGGGTAATTTTAGCAGTTGCCCCCCCTTTCCCTGCCTCCCAGAGACAGGAGGGAGGGAGGGGGAGGGAGAGGGAGAGGAAGCTGGTTTTGCCGACAGAACCTTTTGCCAATGCTGTTTAATTGGGAAGTCTTCGAATCTCTTTTAACATTGAGACTGGCTATTCTCTGAATTTATATTTCGAGATTGGTTTCAAAGAATGACATAACATATGTGGAGTTGATTTGACTTTGTGGAAGACAATTAATGAAACAGGCTGAAACCTAGGCACCTATCAGTCAGAACTTATATTGTTATTTATGGATTTAGTTGGAACTGTTAATGTGATTCATGTAACATTCAATGTTCCCTCTAAGCTGTGGAGTCTTGTGAGCAAAAATTCTACCTTGTGAGCTACCGGCATCAAAGTTGTGAGCGAGCAATTTGGCTCCTGCATCAATTAGTTTGCTCCGGAGCCCTCCTTCCTGAGCTCAGACAAAAACGTGTGAGCCGGAGGCTAAAAAACGGTGAGCTCGCTCACACCGACTGAGCTTAGAGGGAACACGGGTAACATTGTGACTTTGTCCACACTGTGATATATTAACATACTCCTGATCCACATTTTGGTACAAATTGGGAACTATGGGAAGAATCTGCAGTTCTAAAGATCTATAATTTCTCTATATATAAACAATGGATTGAGTCATTAAATAAGCGAGTCATATGGTATAGTTATATTTTATTGAATTAATAGCCATTAAACTCCATTAAAGAGCCATTTTCTATTTTTGACCAAGACACTTATTTCATTTGTTATTTCACTGACCTGGATAGCCCAGGCAAGCCTGATCTCATCAGATCTCAGAAGCTAAGCAAGGCTGACCCTGGCAAGTACTTGGAAGGGAGACCTCCAAAGAATACCAGGACCAGGACGCAGAGGCAGGCAATATCAAGCCACCTCTCTGAAACGTCCTAGCCCCACTAGGGGTTGCTAGAAGTCACCATGACTTCCAGGCATGCATGCACAAACACATGCACAAGATACAAAGAAAAGCCAACTCCCTGGTTGTGACCAGTGAACAGGAAGTAAACCAAACTGGCTAGTGTTTGAGCATCCCTAATTAAATTGTGAATTATGAAACATTTGCTTCAGTATCTCATGAAGGCACTTATATTGAGATCTTGGTCATAAGTAAATAAATTTAAATGTAAACAACCAATTAATTGGTTAGAATGTAGTCTCTGTGTGTAAAGTGCTGTCAAGTCGCAGCCAACGTCTGGCGACCCCAGCAAGGGGCTCCCAAGGCAAGTGAGAAGCAGAGGCAGTTTGCCATTGCCTTCCTCTGCAGAGTCTTCCTTGGTGGTCTTCTTTCCAAATACTGACCCTACTTAGCTTCTGAGATCTGGCAAGATGCTGCCTTCCCTCCCAGAGTGTAGTGTAGTCAATAAAAAATCATTTACAGTGCAATCCTAAGAACACTTCCCTGGGAGTAAGCCCCATTAAACAGAACCGTGTAAGATGCTGAGTAGGATTCTTTACGGTTGCTCCTTTAATCACTTGATAGAGCTGTAGCTAGATTATGGGTGCCAAAGAACTCAGCCTATGCACCATAGTTCTTTAAATGTGAGACATTAACTTTTCCCCTGAATGTATATGAGATAAATGTTCATGATAAAAAAATGCCAGACCTCTGCGATTCAGGATGAAGAAACTGCTTATGTATGAAAGTTTGACTTGCAATCATGAACAATAAGTGGCTCAATACCTTTGTTATGACTGAATTGAGGGATATTTTATGTGCAGAAAAAACTGGCTTTTGTGCACATATTGTTATAAGGAATAAGGAGCTGCATGGGCAAACAGTGTTCTATGCATAGTTTTTCTCTGATTCAGTTATGGAACCCTTCCATGCACCCCAACTAGAAACTGGTGATCAGCTATTTGGGAGGAAAAAACCCAAGGGCAGGGTTAAGCCTTCCTACAATCTCCTCTTTCAGTTGGGGCCCTTTCCTCGTTTTCCTGCCATAGTTTCAGCATACAGCAGCCCAGCCCCCCCCCCCCAAAAATCACATGTTCAGTTCATGTTCACAAACAAAGGCTGGATTCTCTAATTCTCTTCTACCAGGTCTTGCTCCAACAGACGAAGACTTCCTTCAACAAATCAAGACTTTTCTCTGTCAGAGGAAGCCTTTCTCCCTTGAAGGAAAACCGACAAGACTCACAGGGTCCAAGTTAGTGGGAGTCAGAGAATCCAACCCTAAGTTATTTAAAATATTGTGCTACTTCACTGACCAGTATTGGCAGAAGCTGACAATAATGTCTGATTGATTTTTTACCTGGTTATTGGTTTCCAAAGTGAAGTTCTTTTGGACATCAGCAAATGTCATTTTGTGGTATAGCAGAAGCGGGTCAACTCTGTCATCAGATTTGGTTGTCGCCTTAAAATAAAAGAGATTTTTAAAAAAATAAATAAAGGTCTTTTCACATCCCTGGAGGAACAAACACATCTTATCCCCGGTCTATTTTCCTGGCACTTAGTTGCCTGGTACTTTACCAAGCCAAGAACACAAGATGATGTTGTTTGGACAAGATAGGGATTTCCTGCTCTTCACTTGCAAATCTGGTAATCTGTTCAAATAATAAAAAAACAACCAGCCACACTGGGTTGACTCTTAGGAACAATATGTGCATGATGGGGATAGATCCTTCCCACTTTCTCCTTCCTCCAGAAACTTCTTGTGACCCCTCTCCACAAAAGGTGATGTTAAGAATATAAGGACCTTCTTAAACAAAGCGTACAAGAGCTGCCATACAGAGAAGGGACGGGCAAAATCACCCCCACAACATCTTCCACTTGCTGAAGAAGTTTAGCAGATCTTCGCTAGAAGGAGCGAGAGGCAGTGATGTCACGTGATTCCTCCTCATGGTAGCACCCTCCCTATGGCTTCATCACATTTTGTCTAGGCAGGGCTATTTTTGGGCAAGAACGCACAAGAACGGAGTTCCGGCTGGCTCCCAAGTTGGCCACACCCAGCAGGAACTCATTAGCATAATAGGCCACACCCAACAGCAGGAAGTCATTAGGACTGGCTACATTAGGGGTGTGTGGCCTAACATGCAAAGGAGTCCCTGCTACAACAAACAAGGTAAACAGAATAAGAGGCAAAAGGTGGGTGTGGCTGGATGAGCACACTTCTGGTAACATGGGTGTGTGGCCTAATATGCTAATGAGCTGTGCTGTCATGGGTGTGGCCTAATATGCTAATGAGTTCCTGCTGTTGGGTATGACCTGTTATGCTAATGAGTTCCTGCTGGGCTTTTTCTACAAAAAAAGCCCTGTGTCTAGGAGACCATAGATGCATAGTACTGCCATTTCAGGGCACACAAAGGAATTCTGGGGGAAGTGGAAGGCAGTGATGATCAGCCTCTGCAAGCTCCAACCCATTATTTTGCAAAAGTAAAGTGTACAAAGTGTTATGGCACCTAACGTAAGTGTGCATAATGGGTATACCTTAGCATGAATATTATTATATAGCCACTCTCAAGTCAGAGGTAACAGATATAACACATCAGATGGGTCCCATCAGATTCACAGGTTATCCAGTGAATTTCTTTGTATCTTCCTTTGCCTGGGATTTCATTTATTTTTTATTTTATTTTTATTTTATTTTTATTTATTTATTTATTTTAACACTCAAGAAGAGAGTCAGACATCATTTAGAGTACAAATAGGAGTCAACCAATTCTATTAAAAATCAGCGTGAGTGGGAGAGAGTGACTCACATCTGCAATCTCTTTTTCCAGATCCATTACTCTTCTCATTTCCATAGAAATTTGGGTCTCATTGATGGTGAGATTTCTTTCATTGCGGATCAGTTTTGCTACAGAAATCATGAAATCAACATAGGCTGAACATGCCTGCCAGGGGGAAACAACAGCAACAAATTATTTGGCAAATGCATCCTGGACATTATGGAGAGGAGCCAAGGGAAGGGAATACATGCACTACTTTTTCTCCCTCTCTGCTATAGAATCTGAAGATCACTTAACCCATATAATGGTGCCATGATATTGTGTGTTTCCCTGTCCATAAGAGTGGCAGCCACCGCTTTGGTGTGGGGAGGCAGGCATTTGAGGAAATGCACAATACTATGATGTCACAGCACAAGGTAAATCATCCAGCATGTGAAATCAGAGTGAGTAGGAACTTGCGCCACAACGACACATGGATGCAGCTTTCAGTGGGAGCCCCAAACTGAGCACAGTATCATTCTGCTCTTAGTTATGGGCCTAATGTTTTGCTTGAAAGCTTTGCTGGGTTATTGTTGTTGAAGAGGAACATTAATGGTTAGTCATACATGGCTAGGGGAAAAAACACATAACAGTTCATCTGAAAATAATTTGAACAACAATAAACAACTGAAATAATTACTTTTTATGTATTCCCTTGTGGCAAATTGCTACATGCCTAATACGACCGACCACAACATTCTACCAGGCTTTTATTATGTGTAATTAGACATTTACTAGTCTGTATTTAAAACCTACCACTTAAACAGCACATTTCCTAACCGGCCTCCCTAATTAGAGTTTCTGTAAATGCTGCAGCCAGACTATGGCATTTGGGACCAGATCAAATGCATGTTCCAGGAACAATGATCTCAGCAACGGAGTCCAGTAATCTCTGTATGTGTTCTGGAGGTCTACAAAAACTTTTGTGATGGGAGTTTTTGTTTCTCATCAGAGATTTTGCTGTCCCTTTGGTTTAATGTCAGCTGTATATTTACCATCCATATTCCATCACAGTCTAGCACAGAAGACATAGATATTGATTTCCACATTGGAAAACTCCATGCACATACATAAGGATTCTGGAACTAATTTCAGTAGCCTACTACGGGTATGGAGCTGCAGTGGCTCAAGTGGTTAAGACGCTGAACTGCAGGCTGTAGAAGGTCGGTAGTTCAGCAGTTCGAGACCCGAGTTGCCGCATGACGGAGTGAGCTCCCGTCTCTAGTTCCAGCTCCTGCCAACTTAGCAGTTCGAAAGCAAGACATTGCAAGTAGATAAATAGGTACCACTTCAGTGGGAAGGTAACAGCATTCCGTGCTGGCCACATGACCATGGAAACGTCTTCGGACAGCGCTGGCTCTTCGTCTTTGAAACGGAGATGAGCACTGCAACCCTAGAGTCGGATTCGACTGGCTTTCGAGCAAGGGAACCTTTACCTTTACCTTTACTATGGGTATATGCAATGAAACATAAGTGTGCACACATGACCATAGGTGCCTTTACCATTGGATCAAGAGAGATAGTCACCTCAGATACCATTAAGGTTGCAGCACAGGATATAGAGCACACTCTAGCTGGTGTGCTCTTCTGCACCTCTGGTTCATTTCAGTGCATCTTGTGCATGAGAACTCCAAGTGAAATTAAATTCTTGTTAATGGGGCACATAAATGAGTGTACATGTACATGTGTGTGCATTTGTAAGAATGTCATTAGGGTTCTCTACTTCAAATGGCTCTCTCTCTCTCTGAGATATATATAGATATACAGATATATTTGTTGTTGTTCAATTGCACAGTCGAGTCCGACTCTTATATATATTTTTTGATATGAAAATTCTATGTATGTAGGAAATCAGTGCATATGAAAATATTCAGTATGGAAAGCACTGAACAATTTTATATATAATACAGAAGTATGATTTACTGTTGCATAACGGAACTGTGGTACAATGAATCAAAGACATTTCCAGACTATTGATGTGTTCCCTATACACTTTTATTCATTCATTCATTCATTCATTCATTCATTCATTCATTCAAAACTTTAATGCCTCCCTTCCACCTGATCAGAGTCCCCAAGGTGACACACATAAAAACATTAAAATATTTGAACAGTTAAAAAATATTTGGGGGGACCACTCCTTGATTATCTTCCTAATACCCTAATACAGGCATACTCTCCTCCGTGAGGCTTCTGAACAGGTCAGGCAGCAGGCAACTTGGCAGCAGGACTTTGTTACAAACAGACGTAGGAAGTCCTTTCCTGATCTGTACAGTAAAGGCTTACCTCCTTGTATAATCCAGTGCATTCATAGTAGTCACGGGAAGGCAGTCCAAGTCCAGGCTGATCAATCTATAAAACCAGTTTCAAAAGATAGTCTTCAAAAAGCCTTTTGAAGCAGAATTGACAAAACATCATCATGTATTTTCCTAAACTACTAATAGTGCATTCCTAAGGAGGGTTATGGTCTGATTAGATGAGACAGTAAATGTGCACGGAGGAAGAAGAAGTTTTGTCATTCCTTGACTTTGCCCAATGTGTTTTTACAGACAGAAAAGGGCCATGGGGATGGGCTATTTATCTTACTGCCAGTTCCCCGTGTCTGCCCAGATGACATGTGGAACTGACAATAAGACAAACAGCCTGCCCTCCACAGCCCTTTTCCGTCTGCAGAAGTGCACTGAGCAGAAAGCAGGGAAAGAAGAAGCCCCGCCTGCCTTCATATGGACACTCGAGAGCCCATTCACCCCCCGACCCAGTTTTGAAGGTGTGTGCCGGTCATACTTTAAGTGCAAGCTGGGTTGGTCTTTTCTCCAACCCAACTCACATTCAGTGTCTCCTTTAATCAGATCCTGATACCCTTTTAAGATCACTGAAAGTCAATGGTCTTAGAAGGGGTAACTCTGCTTAGGATTACATGGTAAATAGTCTAGAGTTCAATAACGGGAAGAGAACATAGATTCAGGAGGGATAGCCATGTTGGTCTGAAGCAGCAGAACAAAATTTGAGTCCAGTGGCACCTTTAAGGCCAACAAAGGTCCCGATCACACGCAGAATTAGCCACGTGACAGGCATGAATGCCAGGTGGATTTTAAGGGCACGATCACACGGGAACATCTGGCAAGCGTCCCGCACCCATCGGCAACCCGTTTCACTCCGCTGAAGAAGCAGAGTAAAAAGACACTGGGGAAAGTCCAGTAGCAAACGGGTTGCTACGGGCCACAGATGGACCCTCCCCTGTGTGATCGCTCCAGCGTGCTCTCGTGGCATCGGGATGGTCTGATCAGGCCATCCCATCTCCGTGCCGTTGTTTTCCCCCCTTCTCAGTATGTGCATCATTGCATACTGCTGTAGAAAGCCCTCAGTGTGGAGATGTGATTCATTGATCCTCCATTTAAGCAAATCGACAACAAACAGAAAAAATAACACACAACTCACCCACAATTGCGTCTGATCACGCAGTGGTGGGCTAAGCCCACAGCTTCAAAGAACTGTGTGATTGTGCAACTGGGGGTCAATTTCCTCCGGGGTAAATAGCCTCGCTTCCCCCGCGTGTTATCTTGCGACCGTGACCAAAGTTTTATTCAAGGTATAAGCTTTCATGTGCTAGCACCACCTCCTCCATGCCATGGTTGAGGAGGTTCTGGTCCACTGTGTTTGAAGAAGGGTGTTTGCACAAGAAAGCTTATACCATGAATAAAACTTTATTGGTCTTAAAGGTGCCACTGGACTCAAACTTTGTTCTGGAAGGGAACGTGCAAAAGATGAATGCTTCCACCACCACCTCAAAAAAGAAGAAGAAAGGGAATCAACTTGGATTTGTGATAAGAGGAAAGCATAATGCTATTTATTACAAGTTCTGCTTCCAAAAAAGAGAACAAGTGGTCACTGAGGGAATGAAGATTTTGCTACCATTGAATATGACCTGAGGGGAGAGAGCACATGACCTTGTTAATGGGTGTTGTGAAGGTCACCAGAAGCATGGAACAGGTGATTCAGCACTGCTCAGATTTCTAACCGTTAACAGGCGAGTGGCACACTGCATGGGCTATTGTCAACAGCAGGGGTCTTTTGGGGCCGAGTGCACCAGAGTGCTGCTCTGGGAGCCCAGGAGCTGGCAAAATGGCGGTGGCAGCAAGCCCCGCCCCCAGCTGCCCCCGCTATGACCTGTAGCAGGCCTCCTGGGGCCCGTGCTGGAGCGCTGCAGCCCCAGGGAGGCCTGAGGAGGCCCGTTGCCGCTTTACCAGGGCCCACGCCAGAGCGCTGCAGCCCAGAGAAGGCCAGAAGAGGCCCCCCGCCACCTCTCCGGGCCAGCGCCGGAGCACTGCGGCCCAGAGGAGGCCAGAAGAGCCCCCCCCTGCCGCTTCCCGGGGTAAGTGAGGGATCTGCAAGGGGTGGCGGAGGCTTGAGTGGGGGTGGGTGGGAGAGCCTCCCCCCCATCTCTTTGTCCTCTTTCTTTCCCTCCTTTCCTTTTCCTTTCCTTTCCCTCCTTTTCTTTCTCTCTTTCCTTTCTCTTCCTTCCTTCCTTCCTTCCTTCCTCTCTTTT